ATCATTACTCCCGTCTTCAATGTCACGATCCTTCAGAAATCACTCTAATATGAGGATTTGATGATCAGGAAACATTTATGATTATTATTTATCAGTGTTGAAAACAGTTTATATGTTTGTGGAAACTGCTACGCTACCATTCAAAATTTTGGGATAAGAAAGATAAAATAAATGAATGAATGAATGGATGAATGAGTGTTATTCCTCTAAGATGCATTCAATTGATCAGAAGTGTCAGTAAAGACATTTATAATGTTACATACAATTATTTTTCAATTAAATGCTGTTCATTTGAGCTTTTTATTAATCTAAGAATCCTGAAAAATAAAATGTATCACAATTTCCACAAAAATATGAACTGTTTTCAATATTGATAATAATCATATATGTTTCTTGATCATCAGATCTTCATATTTGAGTGATTTCTGAAGGATCGTGTGACACTGAAGAGACTGGAGTAATAATGCTGAAAATTCAGCTTTGATCACAGGAATAAATTACACTTTACTATATATTCACTTAGAAAACAGGTGATTTACATGAGTAAATTTTACATTTCATGAGAAATTTACATTTCATAATGTTTACTGTATTTTGAGCAAATAACTGCAGCATTTGTAAATAGAAGAGACTCTTTCAGAAATATTTTAAAATATGAATAATTCCAAACTTGACCACTGGGGAACATTAGATGACACTTTAATGAAACATACAATGCCTGAGCTAAGAAGTAAATCAATGAGCAAATTAACAGTCCTCAAGCGGCTACATCATTTGTATCTACATCTATTTGTAATTATCCAGTTAAATAATAATACTAGATTCTGGTTTGGTTTTAACATGTTTTCAACTATCAGTTAATTTGCTCAATCAGTGCATCATTATTCGTCCATAAAAAATGATTAGATGTTTCTGGTGAAACAGAATAATGAACGAGAACTGTCTCTCTCTATCTGTTGTGTGAGATGGTGGACTGACGGTTAAGGACAAAACCCCTGTACTTCTAATCAGCTTAATGTTGGCTTATTCTTTGAGGAGGGGGGGCAGCTGCATTGGTGATTAACAAGCGACCATAGACTTTGGAATCCGTGAAGTCGGACGTTTGCATTGGACGTTTGCATAGAGAGCTCCCGGTTTTCCCCATGTTAAAAGCCTTTTCCAGGTCTTTGTTCTCACCCGAGGGCTGCAGATGTTTCTTAGCTCTGGAAGAGGGAAGTTCAGGCATGCTTTGCATTTTTAGACCCCCTTGTGAAGCTTTAGTTTCTCTAAGCTTGTTTTGAGGACATGAGAGTCCTTCAATCTCTGTCCTGTGTGTGTGTGTGTGTGTGTGTGTTCAAAATGAACTAATCAGAAATTAACCAGCTGGGACTAGACTCGTCAGTCTTGAGGAAACCGGTTTTGGGTTCATATTGACCAAAAATTGTCTTCACAGAGAACTTGTTTTTTTTGCAATGAAAAATGCAAGACACAAAAATGTCCACCTGAAGCAACTTTACTTAAAGTCTCCCTGTAGTCCATAATTTTATCCCTTAAAACTCATCTTTGATCATCAAAATGACACATTTAGGCAATTTTCCCTTTTAAAAATAAATGTCTTCATGTCTTAAAATATCTTGACTGTAACTCGAAACCCTTGCTATGAATATAATGAATATGAATATGCAAATGAGTCCCACCTCCACTCACGCACTCACTCAGAGATCTACTGGTTGACGATCAGACGTTGATCTGATTGGTTACAAGGTCGTTTGTGATGTCAGAAACAGCAGCGATTTCAAACCGTGTTTTTGAGACTGTCTTATGACGGTAATACGACACCGTTCTAACTGCAAACAAAAAACTTTTTATGTGTTCTGGACGTTCATTTACACAACAACATTTTTTGGAGCTCGAGAACACAAACCTGAAACATGTTCCAAGGTGCAACAGTTGAACGTTTTTGATAAACGAGATCATCTCCGCGTAAACTTCAAAAACGCAAACCTGTGAAACACTGATGGCGTGCACATGCGCATCACGTGTTCAGTCTATTGGTATGAGTGTTTGAATATATGTGCGAATATATGTGTGCGCAGGCGTGTAGTCTTTCCCCACAAATTGACCTCACCAAATGACTTGTCTGGCTTTTAAAATTCATAATAGAGCTTTTTGTTGCTTCCACGTATCCATGTGAACTGGAATCATTTTGACCACGTTTTAAAATCCCAAGATGTTGAAAAAGTGAAGAGCTGAGCTCAGGCTGGCACGAGAGACAGGTTTTTCTTCCTGCAGTTCTGCTGAGCTTGAAGGTTTTGGGTGCGTTACATCTGCTAGATATATTTCTGTCAGCTGCTCTCCAGTGGCAGCGAGAGGATCAGATCTGCGAGTCCATGTTACGCTCTGCCTGAACACCTCAGCACACATTGCTGCTCTTAAAATGGCTGCCCTTGAAGCTCAAAGCATCTGTGGCGCTCAGTGGCTGTCAGAAGCACATCAAAGCTTCACAGATTTCACCCCATTAGGATCCGACAGACTGGCTGCTTGGTGCAATTTGCGTCGAGTTTGTGTTTTCTCCTCTACCTGGGTTTGTCCAGATATGGATGTAACTTTGTTGTGAGTTCCTCTGGAGTACCGGAACAGATCCGGGCGGAGCTGAAACTCGACCTCTAGAGACAATGGGCGAACCTGCCCTGGGACACACTGGCAGTGTTGTTCAGAATGAGGGTTGAAACCAGTGTCTGCTTTTACGGTTTAAGGCCACAGGTGATAAGATGTAGGTGTGAGGGCTCAGATGTCTTTATTCTTTTCTCATCCAGCAGGAATTCCAACCATTCAGTCATGAAACCTGTTTTCTCTTCTGTTGGTTAAGTCTACACTCTATAGAATGTTCATTCATATATCAAAACTTTTCCCATCATGAAGTCATTTAATGGATTTAGCTTCAATTTATTTTTATTTTCAAGTACATTTTAAACAGCTTTATCAATAGAAACAGTTGAAATAACCTTTTTAACTTGAAAGGATTATGCAGTAACGTTTCTCCTTACATAGAACCTTTTTCGAATAAAGCTTCTTTAAAATTGAGTCAAGAACCCTATGCAAATGGAACCCATTGGACCCTTTTGGCATAAATCATTCTTTAAATTTGTTTCAAGAACCCTAGAGTTCTATATAGAATCCCATTTAAGTTTTTTGCCATAAAAGGTTCTATATAGAACCCCATTGGACCATTTAGGCATAAAGGTTCTTTAAAATTGGAATAAATCGTTGTTTAAAATGGTGTCAAGAACCCTAGGGTTCTATATAGAACAACACTGAACTTTTTGTCATAAAGGTTTTTTAAAATTAAGTCAAGAACCCTAGAGTTCTATACAGAACCCCATTGAACCTTTTTGTCTAACACTTTGTCCTAATCACATGTTATGTGATGCCACAGCATGCAAGAAAAGGCATCTTTTCCATATCAATAAGAATCTTTGTAGACATTGTTTTCATCCACCCACATGGCATTGGTGACATCAGAAGAAAGACAGTCATATTGTAATAACATACTACCTTTTGATGTATATAAGCAAAAAAAAAAACAATGTTGCTTCGAAATTGCATGCACTGCTATTTATGCAAAATAACAACAGTGAAATGAAATAGTAAATAGTGGATTTTGATTTCACATCATCTTTGAGACACATATGTTAATGATAATAACTGTAGATCATGCTTTTGTGTCTCTTATTTCAACAACAATTGCTCATCATGTCCTTGACAGTATTCTGGTCCCTTTCTGAATGCAGAGTTACCTCACTGATTTTCACATTTTTTCTCGGCTCGTCCTCAGTTCCCAGTGAAAGTGGCCCTTGTAACTTTAGGAGCGACTAAGAACCAAGTAGAATCTATTTTTGTTTGCTTTTACAGCATTCAAGGCCTCCTCTAATGTGTAGCATTGCACTAAACCCATATAATTCTGGCCTTGACATTGAGGCCGTTTCTTGCAGAAATCACCCAGAGAATGTGTCCTGATGTGTGAGCCAGCCAAGGCTGAAGAATCACTCTGGTCTTTGTTGATTACTCTCAGATATGCAGAGCTGGTACAGTGCTGTACGGCAGCTTAAATGCATTGCTGTTGTTGAGTTCATGCTAACACTCATGTCCTTGCCACACACGGATCACATTGAGAATGACCCATGATGAAAGAAAAACATGTTTGCTGTATCTGTTCGTGGTCTTTTACTGGAAGACGCGCTTAGTGTTGTAAAGAAAACCATTACTCTTTGCAACGGTTGTGGTTTAAAATATATATATATATATATATAGATTTGGGACATAAGGTTTACATGAGGTCAATGCTGAATTAGTTTCATTCAAATCATATGTTCCTAACATACTGTAATTTCTGGCTCAGGTTGTAGATTTTCGTGAAAATATTTTATTGGCTTATGAAAATGTTCACTGCAGTCTAATGGACTATTGCAATTTTCCCCAAATACAACAGAGATTTGTGCATGGACAGCATGTGTATGTGCTGAATTTGGCAGCAGTGTGCGTATTAATGAAAAAGTATTGATCAGGGACTGAATCATACTTTGTTTCAGCTCATTGATTGGCACAGTTGCCGGGTGCTCTTAGGTCATGGGACATAATAATGCCACCTCCAAGTGACAGCCCGCCCCTTAATCCTTTGTGTTTGCACTGCATCTCTGAAGCCCTGAGCATTCCTCATCCCTCTGCGGATTCACTCAATCTTATTTCAGAAGGGCTTGATGCAATCTAATGGAACATACTGATGTAAATACCAAGGCCCACTGTTGTGCTGCAGCTGAGGCTTATCCCTGGGTAATAAAAAATGGAACAAATCAGCCCATAATCCCTCCTCAGCTATTGTTCTTGGAGCAGACTGACCACTCACCAAAAAAAAGATAGATTCTGTATCTTGTATTTGTCTCTTTTGTGTGAAATACAACGGTATAAAATGTCCATTCAAAGTTTATACTCTTACCCCTTTCTCTCTTTCTGTCTCTAAACAGGTTTCCCTGATTTTCCAGGGAGTCCTAAGCGATGGAAGTGCTGCAGTGCGATGGCTGTGATTTCCGTGCAGAGACAAACGATGAGCTCAAGGCGCACATACAAGACGTCCACACGGCCTTCCTACAGCCTACAGAAGTGGGAGAAGGTGAGGAGTCTCCCAGACGGTCCAGGTCGAACTCAATAAACTCCCACAGCCAAACAGAGGACGAGGAAGACTTGACCAATCATGATTATGACTCCTTGAAAAAAGACGCAGGTATATCAACATTTCTTATTGCGACCTGAAATAGATATAGATGATGAGTGCAGTCTTCTAGAAGTACAGAAACTACATCAGAACAGTCATTCTGGCATGCTAATTTGTGTAAAATTGAAGCGCTCAACGCTTTTCTTTCTCTGTTCATGTTTCAGGCATCCACTCCTTTAACAAAGACCTTGGGCACTCCTCCAGTTCAAAGCAAGCTAAACACAACCAATCAGCAAAGCCTTCAAGCAAAACGTCAACTTCATTTTTTCAGTGCAAGTTCTGTGTGCGGTACTTCAGATCTAGCTCTCTTCTCAGCGAACACACCAGGAAGGTCCATGGAGAAGCAAGCGATGAGAGGTCCTTCAAAACTTCCAAGCAGGCCAGCTGCAGCGCTGCTACTTATGATGGTGTAGGGACTGTCTTTTCCTGCCAGTATTGCACTTATAAATCCCCACACAGAGCACGGATTCTGAAACACCAGAAAGTGCATCACAAAGAAGGTCTACCAGGCCACTCAGCTCCTGTCGAAGCAGAAGTTCTGGATTTAGACTCTGAAGCCTCCTCGGTTGAAGAACAGAGTGAAGAGTCACCAGGGAATGTAGAACGTCGTGTGTTGGAATCTATGATCAAACCCCAGTCAAAGGGAAGCTTTAACTGTGAGTGGTGTGGCTTTCATACTTTGCAAAGGCAGCAGTTAGCCGATCACATGATGAAGAAACACCGTAACATGGTGAAGATTATGGTGTCATTGCAACAGCCCAAAATGCATGACGGAAGTGCAGGATCCAGCAAGTCTGATTCGACTTCGTCTAGGAGAAGCACTCCAACCTCCAATTTAAACCTGAACGATCTACCGAGCAATGAAGGTTCCTCCACAAATGCCTCATCAATCAAAGGATCCTCTGGCAATGCATCACTCAAGTCCACTTCAGGGATATCAAGTTTTCACTACTCACAGCTCACAGCAAAAATACCTAACAGCACAGGATCTTCCATACTGTCAGAGAGATCGACTTTCACCATGTCAGATATGTCTAGGTCTGGCATGGATCTAGATGCCAGCATTCTGAATGATTCCAGAAGCAGTACAGATGATGAACTCTGTGACTTGGAGGATCCCCATTTCACGGAGCCAGCTGAGGATTCTACTAAGCTGCTTCTGTCAGAAGAGGATAATGACCTTCTAGAAACGAAAGGCGTACCATTCAAAAGACATATGAACAGGTTCCAGTGCCCTTTCTGCTCCTTCTTGACCATGCACCGACGTAGTATTTCTCGTCACATAGAGAACATACACTTATCTGGCAAAGCTACAGTGTATAAATGTGACAAGTGCCCCTTTCTTTGCACCAACCCACTTAAGCTTGACACGCACAAAAAATGTCATAGCGGGTCTTCCGAATGGGACACCATGGACTTACCCGGTGAAAGTCTAGATGGTCAAGGTGAACGCTCCGAGCCCGTAAATGGAGGAAACAGCAGCTCAAAAATCAACGGGAAAAAATCCAGTGCAGTCGAGGAACAGCAGGGTCCTCACCGGTGCTCACTGTGTAACTTCTCCACCATCACACTGAAAGGCCTACGTGTCCACCAGCAACACAAACACTCGTACTGTGATGGAACACAAGTTACTGGTCAAGAGGGTTTGTCTAATGAGCAGCAAGATTCTGAGTCTGAGTCCTACAGCTCCTCAAGCTTTGTCCAGAAAACTCAAACATCAATCCTTGGATTTTCAACCAAGAAGCACCTTATTGGGAAGACAGCAAGAAAGTCCATCAACGATTTGCCCTTGGATCTCTCTCCTGTTAAAAAACGGACAAGGATTGATGAAATTGCAAATAATCTCCAGAGCAAGATTAGTCAAAGCCAACAGCACGAGGATGTGATTAACCTTGAGGAGATGGATGATGATGTGGAGGAGAATGGCAATCACATCGATGTAGAAGCAAGCAGAGAGAGAGAAACCTCTGATGCTCAAAGTCAGCTCTACACACTCAACACTCAGCATGTTAGGAATTCTGGAGGTCTTCAGGCAGAGCGTGGCGTTGGGAAAAGAAAGCGCAGTCTTCAGTCCAAACTCGGATCAAGAAACATTCCCATTCAATTAACCATTTCTGATGATGAAGATAATTATAGTGCCTCTTTGGAATCTAAAGATGCTCAAGATCAAAGCAGTCAAGATGGCAGGGAGACGTATCAGGATAATGTTGAATACACTGCGGTACCCGGGAACCTGTTCTACTGCAAACATTGTGAGTACCAAAATAAGTCTGCTCGCAGTGTCAGCACACACTACCAAAGGATGCACCCTTACATCAAGTTTAGCTTCAGATACATCCTGGACCCAGAGGATCAGAGCGCAGTCTTCCGTTGTCTCGAGTGCTTCATCGAATATAACAACTTTAATGATCTGCACCAGCACTATATGACGCACCATCCAGAAGCAAGCAATGTCTTGAACTTTAACCAGCCAGATCTGGTGTATATGTGCCGTTTCTGTTCCTACACAAGTCCAAATGTGCGGAGTCTGATGCCCCATTATCAAAGAATGCACCCTGCAGTGAAGATCAACAATGCCATGATTTTTTCCAGCTACATGGTTGATCAGCCTCCGAAGAGTGCTTCTGAGTCCCAAACACTAAGAGAAATCTTGAATTCTGGGCCGAAGAGTTTAAGCTCCACCTCGTCTGGGTCCAGATCATCATCTAGTCCGGCTCTCAAAAGCATCTGCAAAACGCCAGAAGCAAACACAGAGGCTGAAGTTATTCGAGAAGGTCTGGGTGGTAATGTGGTGGTGTATGACTGTGATATCTGTTCTTTCTCAAGTCCCAACATGCACTCAGTGCTGGTCCATTATCAGAAAAAACACCCAGAGCAAAAGGCCTCATACTTCCGAATACAGAAGACAATGCGGGTCATATCTGTTGACCGAGCACAGTTGTCGAGCAATTCAACCTACAGCCTAACTAGCACCCCCAAGTCTTCGAACGCCACCCTACCTATGGCTCTGGATGAAGATGTTTATTATTGCAAACACTGTGTCTACAACAACCGCTCTGTAGTGGGTGTTCTGGTCCACTATCAAAAGCGACATCCAGAGATTAAAGTGACGGCAAAGTACATAAAGCAGGCACCCCCAACCCCAGGACTGCTGAAACTCATGGACGAGTTACAGATCGCACCCCCTAAACAGTTTCTGAAGCAATTCAACAACAACGGGATTGAAGGGTCAGGTAATTCCAACACTAAAGGAGCATCCGACAAAGGGGAACCTGAAATGCTGTTCTTCTGCCAGCACTGCGACTATGGGAACCGCACTGTGAAGGGAGTGTTGATTCACTACCAGAAGAAGCACAGGGATGTGAAAGCCAATGCCGACCTCGTCCGTAGACATACAGCTGTGGTCCGGAGTCAGAGAGAAAGAGCGCAGATGATCCACGCGGGAAGTTCCACGTCCACTGCAACTGTATCTACTGAAGCAGACAAATCCAGGTCGTTGCGATCTTTGAAGTGTAGACACTGTGTGTACACGTCTCCTTATGTGTATGCCTTGAAGAAGCATTTGAAGAAGGATCATCCTACTGTGAAGGCCACGGCCATGACGATCTTACACTGGGCTTATCAGGATGGTTTGTTGGAGGCTGGTTATCACTGTGAGTGGTGCATATATTCCCATGCTGAACCAAGTGGGCTGCTCATGCATTACCAAAGACGCCACCCTGAGCACAATGTCGACTACACTTATATGGCCAGCAAGCTGTGGGCTGGTCCTGATACTTCCACAAGCAGACAGGGGGGGAACTCTGAAACGAAGCATTACCAATGCAGAGATTGTGCCTTTGAGGCTTGCTCCATCTGGGACATTACTAACCATTACCAAGTAGTGCACCCTTGGGCCATTAAAGGTGATGAATCTGTCCTCATCGACATTATCAAGGGGAACCAAGCACCTGATAAGCTGCTGGCCAAAGGACACGTTTCGTCGTCCAGTTCGTTCAATAGTCACCAGCAAGAAGAGACAGCAGTTGAAGTCAGTCGTCCAACACATGAGCGGCAATCTAATCTCTCTCTGTCTGCCACCTCATTAATCTCAAATAACCCGTACCAGTGCACCGTGTGCTTGTCCGAGTACAACAGTCTTCATGGGCTTCTGACCCACTATGGCAAGAAACACCCAGGCATGAAAGTCAAAGCTGCTGACTTTGCTCAGGAAGCAGACATTAACCCTAGCTCAGTTTACAAGTGCAGACACTGTCCGTACGTGAACTCTCGCATCCACGGAGTTCTCACACACTACCAGAAACGACATCCTTCCATCAAAGTCACGGCTGAGGACTTTGCTGATGATGTTGAGCATGTACACGAGGTAACCAGCGAGGGAGATGAGCGATCTAAAACACAGAGGCAGGGCTATGGTGCGTACCGCTGCAAGATGTGCCCTTATACACATGGCACTTTAGAGAAACTCAAGATACACTATGAGAAATATCATAACCAACCTGCTGCAGACATGTTCAAAGGAACCACCACACAGTCGCCGGCTAGAAGAGACGATTCGGTTGCTGAATGCAGTAGTAACAGGGTGACCGAAGTCTCAGATATGTGTGACTTCGACATCACACTTTCTGAAGTCGCAAAGAGTGACAAGAACACTGTGTTTAATTGTCAGCTGTGCAAATACTTCTGCTCCACCCGGAAGGGTATCGCTCGCCACTATCGCATAAAGCATAACAATGTCAGAGCGCAACCTGAGGGAAAGAACAACGTCTTTAAATGTGCGCTCTGCGCCTACACCAACCCCATCCGCAAAGGCCTCGCAGCACACTACCAGAAACGCCACGACATTGATGCTTACTACACACATTGCTTGGCAGCATCTAAGACGGTGACTGAGAAACCGAACAAGGTGATGTTGCCCTTGGCATCAGAAGCGGAGTCTCCAGCGATGAGCGAGGAGCTCAGGCTCGCGGTGGACCGAAGAAAATGTTCACTCTGCTCCTTCCAGGCTTTCAGCAGGAAGAGTATTGTTTCTCATTACATAAAGCGCCACCCCGGAGTCTTTCCCAAAAAGCAGCCTTCCAGCAAACTGGGCCGTTACTTCACTGTGATCTATTCCCAGGAAGCAGAGAAACCTTCATCCACAGAGGAGTTGGAAATAGTTGAAGTTAAGGCTGAGGAGGAGCCTGAAGGTGAAGTGGACTGGCTTCCCTTCAAATGTCTGAAATGCTTCAAGCTCTCGTTCAGTGCGGAAGAGTTACTGGTGATGCATTACAACGACTGCCATAGCAAGGAACTCAAGTGGGATTTCGTCACCATCCCAAGCCCTGCAGAAGATGGGACGGAGCTCTACCAGTGCACCCACTGTGAAATCAAGTTCTTGACTCTTCCAGAACTCAGTGTCCATCTGATTAACCATAATGAGGATTTCCAGAAAAGAGCCATGAGGCTGGAAAGAAGAAAACAGCTTCAAAGCAAGCAGAGGACGACAGAGCCACCAGAAGCCAAACCAGAGAATAAGGTGAGCCTCCTAATGTGTTTAAGGTGACATATTATGCCCCTTTTCACAAGATGTGATATAAATGTATGGTGTCTTATGGTGTCTCACAGAGAACGGCTTACAAGCTTAAAGCACTTAAACACGGACAAATTCATATTTTCATGATATGTCCCCTTAAAAAGCGAGTTTGCAAGCCAGCACATTGCAACAAAACTAGACACAGCATCACTACAGCTTAATTATAGATGCAAGCAGTTCAAATAACTAGATTGCATCAGTAAATTTAGTCGTCATTGTCTCTTTTCATAGGTGGAGAGCACACCTGATAAGACTCCCGTCGGCTACAGGTGCAACTTCTGCGTGGAGGTCCACCCCACCCTTCGGGCCATCTGTAACCACCTGAGAAAGCACGTGCAGTACGGCGAGGCCAAGGAGGGACACGTGAAGGTACGAGCACCATCTATCAGAGAGCTTTAAACAGTTGCAATAGTTCTAAAGCCTGTTTTATTTTCAACTTCCCATCTGTTTACATTTTTTAGTCTTTTTAGACTCCAGCACAATGTCTATATTCAGTCTTTTCCCTGAGGTGGCCTCAGCGTCTCCTCAACTGCATTCACAGGCCGTTTGGACCTTCTGCTTAAGTGTCTTTTTCTCTTGCTTGCATGGTTAAACTGCTACAATTCAGCTGCACATTCAATGAAATAGACAAATAAAGGTAAATCCTTGAGTGTGTAGAAGAAACACGAAAAATGGACGAGCGCAGTGTTATGACTTCTGTTTAAACTCAAGTATGTTTTATTTTATCGTCTGGGCATTCATGAAGAAAGCCTTGAACGTGTCGTAAAGTTGATCATGCAATTAAATCTTGTGGCCTGGAGGGTTTTCTTTTTTGCATATAGAGAATGAAAGATTTTTTTCTTTTTCTAAAGCTCTTTTCTGAATGTGATGCTGCCTTGGACTAAATAAGGGTTTTTGAGGGCAACAATGTTGCTATCCACCTTTTGGAACCGCCTTTGTGTAAAATGCTCTCTAGGGGTAGGGTAGCTGACGTGAATATTTAAAAGATATTCGGTTAACATTTATGTGAATGGAAAGTGTGTTCTTAATTCCACTTTTAATCGAATGGCTTCTCTAGTGGATTTAAAATTGTTATGCACTGTGACAAAGGAAATTTCAAAAGTCTTGTGAGCTTGTGAATTCATAGTCATATCCAAAATGCTGTTTAAAGACTGGTGCGTAATATTTTTTATTACTTTAACTTCAATCAGATAATGCAGTTGCATTTGTGTTTGGAATATAAATATATACAAGAATGTGTGCGAGTGTGATGAATTTCTTAATGAGGACATTCACAGTGTTTAAGGTGCAGAGGGCTGCATTTACAGGGCCAAGTCTCTTTATCGCAGCAGAATCCTGAGACTGGCAACGCAACCCTTCGTCTCTCTGAAGAGAAAGCCAGTTAGGTGGGCTTGACAGTGTGGCGTGGAGAGTGGCGTGTAAGCGTCTTAGTGTTAGTGTTCCACTGAGAGTGCCAGGACGCGGGCAGGGAGGATTTGAATGGGATCCCAGTGAGGATCAGCAGACAGAGGCCAGGATAGGGCTGAATCACACCGGACACTAGGGGGCAGTGCAATCACACACGCGCGCTCACACACACTCACAGACTCAGAACAGATACTCTGAGTAGAGACACAAGGGCAGGAATTTTTCAGTTTGATTTAAAAAATATATTATTTTAATTTAGCATTGTAATGATTTAATGAATAGCTTTTAATCAATTTGAACCCCAATTTGGGAAACACTGGGCTACTATGTAGAAATACTGTAATGCTAGTGTACTACATACTATTTTTTCTCATTTGTTATGGTATGCTGTGTTTAAACTCGTCATGAAAGGTGTGCTCGTCTGTTCTTCTCTTTTGTTCCGTATATATTCAAGTGAAACATTTCTGGTAGAAGAACACATGTAGGCGGGGCTTGATTGTGTCCGTGGGGAATTGATTGGATGGTTGGGGTTTGCTATTGGCTGATCTCATGTGAGTGACAGGTTGCCCCGCCCACATCATCAGAGAAGAGAAGAGATGCTGCAAGAGGAACTGATTCTGATTCAAAATTTACCAGGAACATGGATTTAAAACCATAATTTCGAATAAACAGCAATATTCTATATATATATATAAATATATATAAAAAAAACATTTCATGTGACTTGAAATGTTTTAGTTGGTAATATGCCATATTACTGTATATGTCACTGTGTTGTGGTGGCCTCTAGTTATTATCATGCACATGTGTGTATTTTTAATCTTTATTATATTAGTCATTAATCAAAATATTGACTCAAATATAGGTTGTTAAAAATCAGTTATCACTTCTGGTTCATTCATGATGGTGGAATTAAAAGGTCAAATCGGTCATCTAGTTTGCACTGACAAATGTAGTTCTCTGTCTCTCAATGTGGATGGCTCTGTTTGGCTGACGGTGCAGAGGTGTATCTGAAGTGCAGGGTCAGTTTTCTCTCTCTTTCTGTTTCTGTCTCTGTCACTCTCTCTCTCTCTCTCTCTCTCTCTCTATCTCTCTCTAAGATGCTGAATTTGCTGTGGGCTGTAAAGCTGCAGATGTTTCAGAAACACACAGGAACCTCTTGGCCTTTTCTAAATTAAGAAAGAGGGATGTCCCAATGCAGGAAGAGAGCTTTAATGGCCGTAATCAAACACTGATCATCTGTGCTTCAGCCCTGGGAGAATCATATCATATAAGACACTGAATGACACTGACATTTATCATGATTATTAAATGTCACAGACCTGTCAAAAACATATAGAGGTTTATTTCAATACACAATGGAGAAAAAAAAAAAATATATATATATATATATAGTCTCAGGTCTTGACACTAACACCCACCAAATGTGTATATTTCATTAGTGGTGTGTAACATAGTCACTAGCCTAGCCACTTTTGCGTGTTGAATTTTATGTATAATATATACTTTTTTAATTGTAGTCTTTTAATTAAAAGGCATCTGAAATAATAAACTAAGTACAGTGTAGGGTTGCCAAAAATTGAAAAAAAATTTTTTTTACATTGAATCTTGAATCTCGGTGTGTGACAATTATACTCGTTTCGCAGATTTTTGACACTCAAAGCGCTCATGCATTAAAATGCCTTTCAGTACTAAATTGAGTTCTTTTTCGATGCTTATTGTGCTTAAACAGTCAAATACACACAAAATAATGTCAATGTTTTGGCGAGTATTCACAAACGTATTACGTCAAAGTAAACAGTTGAGGCAGAAAATGCATGTGTAACAGTATATTGGATCCGTGCTTCAGGTCTTAAATAGACAGCAGCCTAATAAACCCACTGCCAAATTATGAGATAATATTAAACATATCTAAATGGCAGTTGTTCCCCGTGGTATCAATGTCAGAATTGTGGCCAGGGAAAGTGGCTTGTAACTTTGGAAAACCACTTGCCACAGTGGCTGGTGAGCAAAATCTAGTTAATAGTTAAAGAGCCCCTATCATAGCAGTTGAAATGTTCCTATTTTTGTTTTGGGAGTTCCCAAAAACAGTTTAACGTGCAGGCAAGGATAAAAAAACACTTTATTTGTCTTATATTATGCATTTATTTTTAACTGATTTGCTCAACGACTTCCAAATGATTTGTTCGATGATTCATTTTCCCAAACACCTCCTTTGAGTGACGCGAATCTGTGGCGATTGGTCAAATGACCCAGTCAGTTATTATTGGTAAACCGTAGGCAGAGACTGTCGGCAACGGAACGCCCATAACCAGGATTATAGTTTGTCAAGTGTTGAAAATTGTATATAGTGTTTGAACAAACGTGTCAGAAAAAGTGCACTTTCCACACGGCCCCTTACTCGCGTCTCCGTCAAGAGCGAGCTTTCAAGGCGAAACTCACATTGCGGCGGCTTTTGAGGGGCAGTGCTTATTATATAGAGCGATGTCATATTTGGCTAAGTAGTTTAAGGTAATTGCCATTTTTCAATGAATGTCTGGTGAATATCAAAAACAAAACTAACTTTACCCCGCTTAGAAACTGCGCGGAGTGTACACAACACAATATAACTATATTGTGCGTGCTACAGAAAACATAACAGCAAACATTATTAATAATACTTACAGATTGTGATTCGGAGGAGGACGAACCTGATCCATATACACTGGATACTGAGCCCTCCTTCGCGAACAACCGGCTTGCGACATTTGAATTCACATTTGAATTCATTTATGTTTTTGAATGATTCGCCATTAAAATGATAATAACACAAGGTTCGGGCTATACTGTTGTGGTATCGTTGCAAAAATGAAATATAACCACGGATTCTTCACATGCTCGTCCCTGGACAATGAAAACAAGTGGCTAAACTGTCTTTGCAATGTAGAACACAGCGTCTTCTCGACATGACGCTATTCAGCTGAAGTTTTTGAATGTGTTCTAGACTTCAAGTTTACACTCCCGTCTGCGCGCGCAGTTGTTGGGAGCGACCAATGAGCTAATGTTTTGTATCTATGTCACTACGAAACAGCTAATGACTCGTTTCAAAAACAATTCATTTCATAGACTCAGAGTCGACTCTCACTTTTGAAAGACAATAACTTTATAAATGGTGCACTTTCAGATATAAATCTTTCCAGGATGTTTTCATTCCCTTAGAGATATATTCCACACTACATGAACAGTCATTTTCAAAAATCCATGATAGGTGCTCTTTAATAACTGTATAGAATTAATCCTAAAATCGTTTTAATATGCTGTTTTTTTTTTTTGCTTATGTTTCTTATTTTCATTTTTTTAGAAACATAAAAAAAACATTTAACAGAAATCTTTTGTAACATAAATGTCTTTACTATCACTTTTGATCAATTTAATGCGTCCTTGCTGAATACAATAACATTTATTTTTTTAATAAATCTTACCGACCTCAAACTTTTCAATTTGTGCATCACAGTTTCCACAAAAAATATGAACAGTTTTTAACATTGATAACAATAATAAATATTTCCTGAGCAGCAAATCGTCATATTAGAGTGATTTCTGAAGAACATGTGAATGAAGACTGGAGTAATGATGCTGAAAATCTCCGGAATAAATGACAGTTTACTATATTCACAAAGAAACCTATTTTGAATTGTAATATTTCACAACACAACCAGTTTTGGTTAAATAAATGCTGCCTGAACGTGAGGTAGTGGGGAGTTTGTTTAATATGACTGAATGGCTAATTCCAGTAATTCCCTCTGACAGCAGGAAGCAGCAGAAACGGCCGTTCCCAATCCCGTTCCCGGAATAACCAACGGCGAGGTGGAGGACGTGGACGTGGTGACCCCTGACCCTTCGGAGACTTCAGTTGCCATGGAGACGGAGGAGTCGGTCGCGGGCCCGCCGGAGCCGGAAAAGCCTCGTGTTGTTCCCGGTCATCCGTGTGGGATGTGCAGCCGCATGTTCATGTCCATGCAGGGCCTTCGCTCTCACGAGAGGAGCCACTCGGCCGTCGCACTCGTCAACAGGAGCCACAAATACAGCTGCCAGTTCTGCCACTTCGCCTCACCCTTCAGACACAAGTGAGTGCATTACGCGTCTCGCCACTGTCTGATTATGATTTCACTTTTCTAGCTTTAGTTAGTGTGTAATGTTACGACACTCAATGTTCAAAGCAAAGGGAGAGATTGCCTTTTATGGAAATAGTTTTCTAAGGAGTACAACAAACGGCTGGTAGTGACATCACAACATTCCTCCTGGGTTGGTGACATCACAAACCCTAAAATTTGCATAAGCCCCGCCCCGGAACATGATTTATAGATTATTATGACTGAACATGCTAATCAATGACTAGACGATAATGACACATCAGCTGCATAAATTCATCAATTAACCTCAGAAATGGCCTGTTGCTTCTACATGTTGTCACTTCACTTCTTTTACCTCACATGTGTGTGAGGTAAAAGGACATGAGCTCTTGAGGCTCCGCCCCCCTTTGCTGGGAGCTGCGGCTCATTTGCATTTAAAGGGACACACTCAAAAACGTTTTTTTTTTGCTCACCCTCAAAAAAGTGACAACTTTAACATGCTATATAAAATTATCTGTGGGGTATTTTGAGTTAAAGCTTCACATACACACTCGGGCCATCAGAGACTTATTTTACATCTTGTGAAAAGGGCATTATACCACTCCTTTAAAGATAAATAGATAAAAACATAGAATCCCGAGAGAAAATGTGGATTCGTCTCCTCATTTACTTCCTGTGAGATGCTTTGACTGAGCAGTTAGTCTCGTCTGAAGCGCAGGACTTTTGTTTGGTTCCCTGGAGTAAATCCATCCTGACTGGATGTTCCGTGACCCAAAAAAGTGCCGCATTCATGTGCCACACGGGAACCGGGATAAAAAACACTGATTCCCAAGATCCCGGTCGGAGACGGCTGTTTTGTCAAAGTCTCAGCACTAAAGCTGGGATCTTCTGCAGAGAGACGCTTCTTTCACTAGTTATCATTAGTGTTTCCTTTCCTTGTGGAATCGTTCACACGTCACAAATCTTTCCTGGGATTTTGTTGTTAATGAACAGCACACCTGTGAGCACTAATGCATTATTACAGTTATTCTATGTGAAAATGCATGTAAACTAGTGATGCACGATATATCGGCCACCATATCGGTATCGGCTGACGTATGATAGTTTTTAATGTTCTTGTTATTGGCTGAATACGAAAATTTGTCCGATATATTAAAGGCGATAAGTAATGTATTATTTCCTTCAACTAAGACACTTCAGATACACACTGTTTAAAATGATGGTTTTGAGTTGCTTGAAATATGATTGAATCACTTCAAAAAAGGAAAATAGAGTTAAAGGGATACTCCACTTTTTTTGGAAATAGGCTCATTTTACAACTCCCACAGAGTTAAACAGTTGAGTTTTACCGTTTTCGAATCCATTCAGCCGATTTTCTGATATTTAGAAGAATATCAGTAACCAGACAGTTTCTGGTCTCATTGACTTCCATAGTATATTTTTTTCCAACTATGGAAGTCAATGGGACCAGAAACTGTCTGGTTACTGATATTCTTCTAAATATCAGAAAATCTGCAGCTTCTGAACATAAGCCTGATTACTTTAAATTCATCTCCGACTCAAAACATTTTGACATTGATGAGCTGTTGTTGTTAGTCTGCTGAAGCAGCTCAGACGAGAAGGTCAGTTATCATCGCGATGTAGCCTACAGGATCCTTCCTTGCAGCACCAAATTAAGTTAATTTTTGGCAATTATTTCACAACTTTCATTATATAGGTACACACAGAAAAATTAGTCAGGTCCAAGGTACGGCCCTGTCCCTATGCACATTTATTTTGATAATGATCAAGCTTCTAATATCAAATGTCAAACTGACATATTTTGTGCACGTGCGAAATGCCGCCGCGATTACTTGGGATTTTTTCCTCAGCAGTGGAAACAAAGGACTCCTCTTATATGGTTATACAGATAAGACTACCCTATGGTAACACTTTATTTGAAGGGGTGTGCATAAGACTGTCATGACACTGTCATAAACATGACATAACACCTTGACATTAACCAAGAAACCATAACTAGTCCAACGTGTTCCACTTTACTTGAGGTAAGGGGAAATATTAATGACACTGTTGTTAAAGCATTTGACAGTGTAATAACCCTTAATGCCATCTTTATAACTAGTACAATGTGTTCCGCTTTACTTGAGGACAAGTAAAATATTCATGTCACAGTTATAATGGTGTCATGACAACCAAAGTTAAAACCAACCATAACACATGACAGGGTAATATTAGCACAATGCTAAATAAATTTGATAATTAGTAAAGTTTGATAATTAGACCTGTTATGACATATTTGTGACAGTTTGACAGGTTATAATTTCTTGGTTAATGTCAAGTTGTCATAACAAAGACATTTTAAACAAAGTCAACTTTGCATTAAAAGTGTCATAATTTACCGAATGACACTTAATGACAACAGTCATAAACATTCATAAAGACTCCTTCATGTTCATGACAGGTGTTATGTCATGTTTATGACAGTGTCATGTCAGTCTTATGCACACCCCTTCAAATAAAGTGTTACCGTATAGGCTACATTATAAATTACTACAATATGTCATGCCTTTTAAAAATAAAGAAAACAACAGGATGCGGGTTCGTGCCGTCTCTGTCTCCTTTATATATAAATGAATATATGAATCTATAATATAAAGAGACCATAATTATAATTGTGTGTTTGGGACATGGATTTTAATGGTAAGACTTTTGTTTTTGTAATCAGGCTCTCAAAAATTATGAAAAAATTTGGATTTAGATATCGGCTTTCAAATATAAAGAATTATCGGTTATCTTATCAACCAAAATGTTTATATCGGTGCATCCCTAGTATGTAAACTAAAACTTAATTGAAGTAACAGTGAAATAAAATATAGACATTTTTGGGTTGGCTTTACTATTTGGATGATGTTTGTTTTCATTCTTCATTGAATGTAATTGTACGTTTAGTTATGAAACACTTGGCCGTTTCTCCCTCTTCCTGAAGTGAATGTAGCAACTCTTTCAGTTTTGATAGAATGTATATTTCTCCTCCATCATTCGTGTGATTTATTGGTTTCCTCCAGCCTGGACCGTCACATCCAGTCTCATCATGGACACCAGAAGCCGTTCCGCTGTAAGTCCTGTCCCTTTAAATCCTCCTACCTGAGCCGCCTCAAGAGCCACCTGCACAAAGCACACGCAGGTGAGACGCCCCACACACACACACACACACACACTCACTCACTCACTCTCACTCACTTACTCATTCACTCACTCTCACACACAAACACACTGACACTCACTCACACACATACATTCACTCTCTTACACACACTTCATTTAAATTATGCACAGTTTTTCTCATTGGCTTTGGCTCGGAAATGTTCCGTTATCGTCGTCAGGGCCGGCTCTAGGTTATTTGGTGCCCAAGGCGAGAGTGCCCCCCCCCCCCCCCCCCCCATAGAAAAATCCGTCATAAAATCTGAAAATTTTTACACAGAAATGAAGGCCTAGCACTAGAGCATAAATGCAATGTATCATAAAAAATAATTTTTCATATGCAAGCTAATGGTGTAGTAGGAATTGTGTGGTAAATTGATAAAAATTTATATCTCCAAAAACACAGCATTAATGAATAGATGAGAAGTAAACAAAAAAATATAATAATGTATATTTTTTGTACAATTACTCAATAAATTGTTGGGGTCATATATACCCCGGCCCGAAGCCCAGAAGTGTAAACAGGAAACGAAGACCAATTGAAGGTATAATGCCGACGAACTAGCACTGATGAAAGCCGATGTCGCCTCTCGTCCCCTCTCGTCGGGGTAAAAAGCTGCACTTGAACCATGACTGAAAGAGAACAGGCGACTGTCAGCTAGAATGTGCGTTCTGCGTCTGCGTGCAATGAGCCAACTTTCTATTTCTGCAGATAGTCTATATTCGTCATTCAAAAAGGAAAACCGACGCTGCCGCCGCAGATAACGTTACACATAACGTAAACAAAGCAGCACATGCTTACCGTTTTGAATATACGCGGGCATCCCCTTGTCAACATGTCGAATCGGGCGAAACAAAGCCGACGAGGACTATTTTGAGCCGACGGCACGGAACCGCAGAACACACCGAGGAAACTAAAGCGCTAAAACCAGCTTATCAGATGTTTTCGCGCCACTCCCGGTTGCTGAGCAACGCGTGTGAGTTTGACAGCTGCCTGTCAGAGTGACTCAGTCGTTTTTTAGGATTGTATAATCTTGTAAAAGAAATGTACAAAAACAAGCAGTGTGTGGACAATGCACAGTAAAAGTGTACAGCGTGTGTGCAGCTTTCATCATACGATACATACATTTAATTAACTTTTTTTTTTCAATTCTGCAATTTGCGCCCCGTCCAGCAGATGGCGCCCCAGGCGGCCGCCTGTGTCGCCTGTCGGCAAAGCCGGCCCTGATCGTCGTCAGATGTTGCCGGTGGTTTGATGCGGTATGTGTCTCTGTCGCAGGTGAACACACGTATAAATGTTTGTCGTGTGCGTTCTCCACCACCACCATCAGCCAGCTGAAGGAGCACTCTCTGCAGGAGCATGGAGAGACACTCACGCTTCCCAAACTCAAAGCTGGAGCCGCCCGGAGCTCCACGCGACCCAGCGCCGAAAACAGCGACGAAAACACTCCCCTCGACCCAGACTGCACTGGTAACACACACGCATAGCCGCGGGAACGTATTTTGAGAAGGGGGGGCTGTAGGGCCAATCACACACTCCGAAGGCGCTTCTCCATCACATTCAGCCAATCATACACTCTGAAGGAGCTTCTACCTCACATTCAGCCAATCACACACTCTGAAGGCGCTTCTCCGTCACATTCAGCCAACCACACACTCCGAAGGCGCTTCTCCATCACATTCAGCCAATGACACACTCTGAAGGCGCTTCTCCGTCACATTCAGCCAACCACACACTCCGAAGGCGCTTGTCCATCACATTCAGCCAATCACACACTCTGAAGGCGCTTCTACCTCACATTCAGCCAATCACACACTCTGAAGGAGCTTCTAGCTCACATTCAGCCAATCACACACTCCGAAGTTTCTTCTACTTCACATTCTGCCAATCACACACTCTGAAGGAGCTTCTAGCTCACATTCAGCCAATCACACACTCTGAAGGCGCTTCTACCTCACATTCAGCCAATCACACACTCTGAAGGAGCTTCTAGCTCACATTCAGCCAATCACACACTCCGAAGTTTCTTCTACTTCACATTCTGCCAATCAAACAATCCAAAGGAGCTTCTAGCTCACATTCAGCCAATCACACACCCCGAAATCGCTTCTACCTCACATTCAGCAAATCACACACTCCGAAGGCGCTTGTACCTCACGTTCAGTCAATCACACACTACGAAGGCGCTTCTACCTCACATTCAGCCAACCACACACTCTGAAGGCGCTTCTACCTCACATTCAGCCAATCACACACTCCGAAGGCGCTTCTACCTCACATTCAGCCAATCACACACTCCAAAGGCGCTTTCTACCTCACATTCAGCCAATCACACACTGAGAAGGTGCTTCTACCTCACATTCAGCCAATCACACACTGCAAAGGTGCTTTTCCCTCACATTCAGCCAATCACACACTATGAAGGCGCTTCTACCTCACATTCAGCCAACCACACACTCTGAAGGCGCTTCTACCTCACATTCAGCCAATCACACACTCCGAAGGCGCTTCTACCTCACATTCAGCCAATCACACACTCCAAAGGCGCTTTCTACCTCACATTCAGCCAATCACACACTGAGAAGGTGCTTCTACCTCACATTCAGCCAATCACACACTGCAAAGGTGCTTTTCCCTCACATTCAGCCAATCACACACTATGAAGGCGCTTCTACCTCACATTCAGCCAACCACACACTCTGAAGGCGCTTCTACCTCACATTCAGCCAATCACACACTCCGAAGGCGCTTCTACCTCACATTCAGCCAATCACACACTCCAAAGGCGCTTCTACCTCACATTCAGCCAATCACACACTGAGAAGGTGCTTTTCCCTCACATTCAGCCAATCACACACTGCAAAGGTGCTTTTCCCTCACATTCAGCCAATCACACACTACGAAGGCGCTTCTACCTCACATTCAGCCAACCACACACTCCGAAGGCGCTTCTACCTCACATTCAGCCAATCACACACTCCGAAGGCGCTTCTACCTCACATTCAGCCAATCACACACTGAGAAGGTGCTTTTCCCTCACATTCAGCCAATCACACACTGCAAAGGTGCTTTTCCCTCACATTCAGCCAATCACACACTACGAAGGCGCTTCTACCTCACATTCAGCCAATCACACACTCTGAAGGCGCTTCTACCTCACATTCAGCCAATCACACACTCCGAAGGCGCTTCTACCTCACATTCAGCCAATCACACACTGAGAAGGTGCTTTTCCCTCACATTCAGCCAATCACACACTCCGAAGGCGCTTCTACCTCACATTCAGCCAATCACACACTCCGAAGGCGCTTCTACCTCACATTCAGCCAATCACACACTGAGAAGGTGCTTTTCCCTCACATTCAGCCAATCACACACTGCAAAGGTGCTTTTCCCTCACATTCAGCCAATCACACACTCTGAAGGCACTTCTACCACACATTCAGCCAATCACACACTCCGAAGGCGCTTCTACCTCACATTCAGCCAATCACACACTGAGAAGGTGCTTTTCCCTCACATTCAGCCAATCACACACTCCAAAGGTGCTTCTACCTCACATTCAGCCAATCACACACTGAGAAGGTGCTTTTCCCTCACATTCAGCCAATCACACACTGAGAAGGTGCTTTTCCCTCACATTCAGCCAATCACACACTCCAAAGGTGCTTCTACCTCACATTCAGCCAATCACACACTGAGAAGGTGCTTTTCCCTCACATTCAGCCAATCACACACTGCAAAGGTGCTTTTCCCTCACATTCAGCCAATCACACACTCCAAAGGCGCTTCTACCTCACATTCAGCCAATCACACACTGAGAAGGTGCTTTTCCCTCACATTCAGCCAATCACACACTGCAAAGGTGCTTTTCCCTCACATTCAGCCAATCACACACTCCGGAGGCGCTTCTATATCACATTCAGCCAATCACACACTCCGAAGTTGCTTCTGCCTCACATTCAGCCAATCACACACTCCGAAGGCCCCTCTCCCTCCGATTGTGTTTTCAGTGATGTACATATCTTTAAAAAATGTCTAAAATAATGTGTTGTGGGGTTTCATGACCTTTGAGACGACTGCTTTTAACCTGCTGTCTCGTCTGGTCTCAGAGTCGCTGGCGTATCTGGAGCCAGCCGATGTTCAGCAGCAGCTCAGTCACTTCCAGCAGACGTCTCGAGTCCAGGCCGATGTTTCCCCTCCTCCTCCTCTTCCTCCTCTTCCCGACGCTCCCGCTGCTCCGGCCCGACCCGACTCCATCCTCACCTGCGAGTTCTGCGAGTTCAGCTCCGGGTACATGCAGAGTCTGCGCAGACACTACCGGGACCGGCACGGGGGGAAGAAGCTCTTCAAGTGCAAGGACTGCTGCTTCTTCACCTGCTACAAGTAACAGCTCCTTCATCGCTCTTATGCTAACTCACTCATCGTATCTCAGATCATGAGGAAAAACAGCATTTCCTTATTAGTTTTCTTCAACTTAATTTTTTTTATTTTATGTTAACATTACATAATAAAATTTTATTTTAGTACTTTGTTCTATTAAATATTTGAATTACCAGTATGGCATTTTTTACTGTTTTGATTTTGAAACTATTTTAAATGTACGTTTTCATGATTTCTCTTTTAGATATTTTTTATTATTTTATTATTTTACGTTAACATTACATGATAAAATTGTATTTTAGTTCGTTTTTTTTATATTTGTATTTAAATATAAATTTAAATTTACATATTTATGATTTCCTTACTAGCTTTTCTTTAACTCTTTTCTGATTTTTTTTCAATTATTATTTTAACTTAACGTTAACATTACATGATAAAATGTTTTTTTATATATTTGTATTATATTTTTTTACTTTGTTTTGCTTTTGAAACTTCAACTCCTTATTACTTCAACTCTTTTTGATTTTTAAAAATTATTTTAATTTGACGTTAAATTACATGATAAAATACTTTTTTAGTGTCTTATTTTGATTGATTTTATTTTCAAATTCTTAAAATTATTTAATTATTAGCTAACTCTTTTTGATTCGTTTTTATTTTTAGATTTATTAAAATTTTACGTTGTTATTATATTATAAAATATTTCATTTTTTATTATATATATTTTTCTCTATTTCATTTTATTTTGACAGCTATTATATTAGCTTTTCATCCACTCACAAGCCCCATTTTGAGAAACCCTGACCTTGAAACGCCTGGAATCTAATCATCAGAATATCCCTGTGTGTGCGTGTGTGTGTGTGTGTGTGTGTGTGTCAGGTCTACGTTCACGTTGCATGTGGAAGGCGGTCACAGCAGTGGATCAGAGGAGCTTCTCAAAGACCTTCGCTGCCCCTTCTGTCTTTACCACAGCAAACACAAGACCAGCATGATCGACCACATCGTCCTGCACAGAGGTGACACACTCCTCATTTCCATTGTTTAATTATTAGCGTTTCATCAGTCTATTTTGGTGTTGGTTTTCTTTTGGCTCTCTGTGTTCAGTGGGTCATTCAACTCATTGGCTCAGTGATCATGTATTTATTTTTATTTTATCCACTTAAACAAATTGTATCATACAATTACAAACACCATTGATTTGATATCATTAAATATAAATTATATTATAGAGGTTATGCATTGTCACTTTCTCAAAAATATTTAAATAGTCAATCTCAAAGCTCTTTCCAGTTTTAGATGCGTTTTGTGCGTAGAATTAAGAGTAGAAGGTTCCAGGTACTGATTGATTGACTGTGTGTGTGTGTGTGTTTGTCAGAGGAGCGCGTGGCGCCACTGGAGGTCTCGCGCTCAAAGCTATCCCGTCACCTGGAGGGCCTGGTCTTCCGCTGTCATAAATGCACCTTCACCTGCTCCAGCGAGCAGAACCTGCAGATGCACATCCAGAAGCACGATGAACTGAAGCCGTACCAGTGCCAGCTCTGCTACTATGACAGCAAGCGCCTGCACGAGCTGGAGATACACCTGCAAGAGGAACACAAGGTGCCTGTGCCCACGATCATCAGTAGGGGGCGGGTCCACTCATGATGGGGGAGGAGAGAGAGTGATCCAATCAGCAGTAGGGGGTGTGTCCACTCATGATGGGGGAGGACAGAGAGTGATCCAATCAGCAGTAGGGGGAGTGTCCACTCATGATGGTGGACGACAGAGAGTGATCCGATCAGCAGTAGGGGGCGTGTCCACTCATGATGGGGGGAGGAGAGAGAGTGATCCAATCAGCAGTAGGGGGCGTGTCCACTCATGATGGGGGAGGAGAGAGAGTGATCCAATCAGCAGTAGGGGGCGTGTCCACTCATGATGGGGGAGGAGAGAGAGTGATCCAATCAGCAGTAGGGGGCGTGTCCACTCATGATGGGGGACGACAGAGAGTGATCCGATCAGCAGTAGGGGGCGTGTCCACTCATGATGGGGGAGGAGAGAGAGTGATCCGATCAGCAGTAGGGGGCGTGTCCACTCATGATGGGGGAGGAGAGAGAGTGATCCAATCAGCAGTAGGGGGCGTGTCCACTCATGATGGGGGAGGACAGAGAGTGATCCGATCAGCAGTAGGGGGAGTGTCCACTCATGATGGTGGACGACAGAGAGTGATCCGATCAGCAGTAGGGGGCGTGTCCACTCATGATGGGGGGAGGAGAGAGAGTGATCCAATCAGCAGTAGGGGGCGTGTCCACTCATGATGGGGGAGGAGAGAGAGTGATCCAATCAGCAGTAGGGGGCGTGTCCACTCATGATGGGGGACGACAGAGAGTGATCCGATCAGCAGTAGGGGGCGTGTCCACTCATGATGGGGGAGGAGAGAGAGTGATCCAATCAGCAGTAGGGGGCGTGTCCACTCATGATGGGGGAGGAGAGAGAGTGATCCAATCAGCAGTAGGGGGCGTGTCCACTCATGATGGGGGACGACAGAGAGTGATCCGATCAGCAGTAGGGGGCGTGTCCACTCATGATGGGGGAGGAGAGAGAGTGATCCAATCAGCAGTAGGGGGCGTGTCCACTCATGATGGGGGAGGAGAGAGAGTGATCCAATCAGCAGTAGGGGGCGTGTCCACTCATGATGGGGGAGAGAGAGAGAGTGATCCAATCAGCAGTAGGGGGCGTGTCCACTCATAATGGGGGAGGAGAGAGAGTGATCCAATCAGCAGTAGGGGGCGTGTCCACTCATGATGGGGGAGGACAGAGAGTGATCCGATCAGCAGTAGGGGGCGTGTCCACTCATGATGGGGGAGGAGAGAGAGTGATCCAATCAGCAGTAGGGGGCGTGTCCACTCATGATGGGGAGGAGAGTTATATGTGTTTGCGCACATGATATCAGGAAGCAACAAGATATGCCTATCGAGTTACTCTCCCACTTCTGCTAGTTTTACTGAGATATCTTATCCCGTGCGAATTGGCCATAAATATTACAGACATTACTCCATCTACCCTTGTAAAGCTAATCCCGTCTGAATAGGGCTATAGTGAGCAAGAGGGATTTGAAGAAAGACTGTAGAAAGGGAGATGGCTGAGAGACATTACAAAAGAGAAAAGGTCAGGGCAATATCACTGGAAAGAGAAAGGTTATGATCAAGCAAGCGCTTTATAGGAGACGCGTTAGTATCAGAAAAACTTTTCAGCATTTAAGTGGGACGGCCTGAAAACGGTCCCGAGGTTGCATTGTTTCAGCTGGAAACATTTAAACAAGTCAACAAAAAATATAGATTGTTTTACTGGTTAGATATCTTACAAATTGTGCCTCTGAGACAATACTGGAACACTTTACATTCATGTTTCTATTGTTAATTTCTAATTGATCTTTTTCTTAAGAAGATTGTGAATATCAATTGTGTTTCCATTGAGATATTTTCATGCATTTTTTGGATATCACATAAGAAAAAAAAACTTAAAGATGTTCATAAATTATACAAATGCACATAACATATGCACTCAATTGAGGTCCATAAAAAATTATCCAATAAGTAAACAAATCCCTTAAAAAATAAAGGCTGTGATTGGATTACTGGACTAGGCATCACAGCATCTCAAATGTTGGTTTAGTGTTTCTGAAAGTCAAAGTGTGTGATCAGAATGATTGGGTTTAATTCCCTCCAGAAGTGTCTCACGCACACGAGCGTGTTCACAAAAACCAGCATCCGAACACCAGAGAACATGACAGCGTTTACTGTGAGAGGCAAACTCATGTCAGAAACTTACAGTTTATTACTGATATTGTTCACCAATTTCCCAGGAAGTGATGATTTTGTTCTCTTGAACACATGGGATGGAAATGCTGCTTTTTTCACAAATGTTTTATACCATATTCCAATTGATCTGCAGGTGATCCGTAACTTTGAGCTGGTGGGGCGGGTGAACCTGGACCAGCTGGAGCTGATGAAGGAAAAGATGAAGGATGCGAACAGCAGCGAGGAAGAGGAGAGAGAAGAAGAGGAGGCAGACGAAGAGGAAGAGGAGGAGGAGGAGATGATGGATGAGGAAGAGGAGGAGAAGATTCCGGAAGATACAGAGGACACAGGTAACAGTTCAGCAGATTCACTCAATCTGGGTAAAGATAACCAACAGGAGGTCAAAAATATAACGCTATCAAGTAGGGCTGGGAAATAAATATCGATTTCTCGATATTAATCGATTCTCATTTTTATGAACCGATATCGATTCTTAAATCTCAAGAATCGATTAGTCATCCTGTTTCATTTGAATGAATGAGACATTGTATCGCGGCTGCGCGCATCCAAAAAAATCGCTATAATCTTTGTCTTTTGTTACTATTGATATGAAACAAAGTCTCAATTTTCAAATTACGTCCATTTTCTTTAGAAATTCAAAAACATAAATAACGTTTTGGCGCTGTGGCTTGAGATCGCTCTGGCGCAGCTGATGAAAAGCAGCAGCACTGATCTCTCTTCCGGCTTAATAATACCAGTCACAGCGCGAAATAAACATGAATGAGCATCTGAACCTGTGTTAAAAGATAGAGTACAACTTATCGAAATCCGTATCATGTCACATTGATTCCCTCAATCAGCGTTTCAACCGTGGAAAGACGTCAATTAAACAGCTTGTAATCAATGTATCGTCATATTTACCTCAGAAAACCCACATAAACTCGTTAGTCAGCTAGAAAAAAATAACTCTAGAGAGGAGCATTTTGCTAAATATATACACCATATTACATATGTATTATAATCTTAAAGTTCTTTAATATTTAATGCATATTTGAATAAATATGGCAAGTTTTTATGACAGCCACCATTTTAATGTTTATATTTCATATAATCTTCTTATTATAAAAATAAATAAGTGTTTGTATAGCTACAAAACAGTTCATTATTACCTTCATATTAGGCTAATGAAGTCTATAGGCTACAACTAGACTCCCATAGTTTACAGCATTTAAGAGATTTGATTCCCTTGAGAAAAATGGCCATTTATTGTAAATGACATCCAAAATAATCGATATTGAATCGAATCGAATCGAAATCGAATCGAATTGCAAGCTTGTGAATCGAAATTGAATCGAATTGTGAAATTTGTCTCAACACCCAGCCCTACTATCAAGCGTAGGTCATGTTAGGTCATGTAGGTCATGTTAGGTCATGTTAGGTCACATAGTCAAGTCAAGTCACCTTTATTTATATAGCGCTTTTTACAATACATATTGTATCAAAGCAGCTTCACAGTGATAACATGAAAATAATACAACACAGATCAATAATATTGTTGAATATTAAATGTTCCCAACTAAGCAAGCCAAAAGCCAAGGCAACAGCAGGACACGTAACGTTAGGTCACATAGGTCACGTTAGGTCACAGGTCACGTAGGTCACGTTAGGTCATGTTAGGTCATGTTAGGTCACATAGGTCACATTAGGTCATGTAGGTCACGTTAGGTCACATAGATTACGTTAGGTCACATACCGTAAAACTTCATATAATTGTCGAGTCCCAAATAGTCACAGATCACGTTATGTCATATAGGTGACGTTAGGTCACGTAGGTCATGTTAGGTCACGTTAGGTCACGTTAGGTCATGTCAGGTCACATTAGGTCATGTAGGTCACGTTAGGTCGCATAGGTTACGTTAGGTCACATACCGTAAAACTTCAAATAATAGCCGAGTCCCAAATAGATGCCTGTCTCTTTTACGCGCCAGGTGTGGTCGCAGGTTTGGGTAAATAAAAGCCAGTCTCAAATAGAGGCCGGGTCTGTTTTTCCGTTTTCTTGTTAATCTTCTAAAACCGTCCGCTTTTTGGTGACTGCCAAAGCAAATTTTTGTCCCGCCAAAGCCTATTTTGATGGGTGAGTGTGTTAGAATGACTGGGCTTGACTGGGTGCAGAACGAGCAGAGAGAGAGAGAGAGAGAGACCTGGCCGCACTCGCGCTCTCTCACGTCTTCAAACACGAGCAGTGTCTTTTTTTTTAGAGATTTTTAGAGATTAGAGACTCAATGAACAACATCTCAACACTAAATTATAAAGGCCGGTCTCATATAGACGCCTGTCTCAAATACAAGCCAGTGCAGTTCGGCGATTTGGGAAAATAAAAGCCTGGGCTAAGTTTTACGGTAGGTTACGTTAGGTCACGTAGGTCACGTTAGTTAAGCTCACATCAGTGACTCTCAGCTGATCCTCTACCTATAGGAATACTGTAAATCCCAATGCCAATGTCATGTGTTCAGTTCCCCGGGGGAATACCGTGTTCTTGAGATAAAAGCGTCTGAATGTAAATGTAGTTGGAAGTTGAAAGATGACATGTTGAATGTTTCAGAGGTTGTTTGCTCGTTCGCTCTGTGAATATTGTGTTATATATCGTGTCGATGTTGTTCCAGGAGCTCCAGAGTCTCCTGTGAAGCGCTATCCGTGCGAGTTCTGCGGACGCACGTTCACGCTGAGCATCGAGTGGGAGCGACATGTCCTTCGACACGGCATGTGAGTCTCGCCATTAAAATCAGATCAAAATCCTGTCGTTAATGACTCATGCCGTCCCGAACCCGTGAGGCTTTCCTCCCTCAACAACTCGCTTCACAACATTTGTAAAGAGATGAGGAAATTAATCCATATGAATGAAGCGGTTTCCAAGCTTTCTGAAGAGACGCGGTTTCTTTATTTGATCAACAGATTGAATTTAGGCTTTGATTCGGATATAAATCATAAACAGAAGGTTGTTTTTTTTTTGTAAAAGACTAAATGTGAATGAATCAAAATTAGGAATAAGAATCGGAATTGATCAAACACTACTTGAACAGACTTTCAATGGAGGGACAGGAATCTCTGGTTTGTGTTTCGAAGATGAACAGAAGTCTTACGGGTTTGGAACGACACGAGGGCGAGTAATTAACGACAGGATTTTAGTTTTTTGGTAAATAACCCTTTAACCTTCTGAAATGTGCCACATTAATCAGCCAGTGAAGCTGAACACACATCTGATGTTTCCAGGACTGTTAACGACAGCAAGAAAGACACCGGTCCTGTTCCCTCTTCAGCTCAGCCTCTGATTGGTCCAGCCGCTGTGATTGACGGGGGGATCGACCAACCCACTAACACTGTGGACGCCACAGGGGCGGATCAATCTGACCAATCCAAGAGTCCGATTCAGAACCAGGAAGAGGAAAAGACGCTGGAGACCAAAAACAACGACCCGTAGGAGGGCAGGAAAGCTGTAGTGAACACGTCGTTCGGCTTTAGACGCGGTTAAGAATGTCGTACGTTTGTCTGTCTGTTTATCATTTGTTTTGGCTGCTTGTTTTTGGTTTTAAAAAAAAGCTAGTATCGATAGATGTTTGTTCAGTTGCTGAATCTTACACTGAATTTTACAAAGTGTGACTTGGTCCCTCAGGACAGATGTTGATATATTGGTAACCAATAGTGAATGAAACCGCGAAGTCGATATTGCGATCGAATCCCGAGTCGGTCCGTGAGCCTGAGATCTCCCACGCTCAAAGCCCTTCTCATGTTCCTTTCAATGCACTTTCCCATTCGTTTATGAAAGATAACTGCGAACGATTAGAATCGAATGTCTTCCGCCGCGGTGAACGCACACACACACACACACTGATAGTCTTGAAGACGGTGTGTCGCGCGTCACGTTCGTCACAGACGAGAAACCAGAGGCGAATTCACACCGAACACGGGAAGGCTTTCGGATTCGGTCGGAACGCCGACACGCGGTTTCTGTTTTTTATTTACATTTTAGCCTTGTGTTAATCTTCCCGTAGCTGAATTCCTTGAGGAATAGTTGTTTATCTAGATAATCTTGATTCTTTTAGACCTGATTTTAGAGTATCAACACTTGCCCCCAATAAAAATGGAGAAAACTCGTAGAAAAATGCTACTTTGAAGATTTCGACCTCTTCCCGGCTCACTTCCACTTCACTTTGATAACGATTTACACGAGATGGATGAAAAGATCACGTGTTTCTGCCGATCTCCTCCCGTACGGATGTTTAAAGGAATATTCTGGCTTCAAAACAAGCTCAGTTTTTTCACTGGAACAAAGATGGCAGATTCAGTGTTTTCCTGCGCCGTAAACATCCCGTCACTTCCGGCTCTTTGAGCTCGTTCCTTTAAAAGAGGGAAGCTTATCCCCCGTGAGGCTGAGATTGTACGTGATGGAAGTTGCTGCTCGAAAACCCCAAAGCCTTATATGTTAGACGCTTCTACCAACGTATCGATCACTAAACATAACCTCTCCTCGGTACCAAAAGTGTCGCTTCCCAAAGTCCCAAAGCAAGATATGATTGTCTTTCCCGAGCAATGACTGGACATTGCTGAGGGTGAAACCCAGTGGCCTTCTGGGTAATCTGCATGCCGTTTTGCAGCCGTGTATAAACTCAAAGCTACGTGTTTGAAACTGAACGGGGTCTGTTCCTTTAAGTGTTGTTCTGATATTTAACTTAACAAAAAAAAATTAAAAAGAGAGAGAGAGAGAAGAAAAATACAAATCAATAGATGACGTCTCTTTCCGTTTTTAGCTCTCCACTGTTCAAAAGCTGTTGTAAATGTTCTGGTTAAGGAAAAAAAAAAACCTTTTGTACCCTTAAAGCCCTTCATAAGGAGTAGCCCAGCCTTTCTAAAAGACGCCCGTGTAGAAAACCATCAGAATAAGCTTTTAAGACTCTTGTGACACACTGGATATCTGTATATATATATGCTTTAGTTCTCCTGGTTTGGCCATAGTTGACCTTAGATCTCTGCGTTCGGCTCTGTGAAACTCCTGATGATTTCTGATGGTGGGTTGTGATGTCGACTAGACTGGTTGTTTACAGTTTTATTCCTTTGATTTCTCTATATTCTGTAAATATTGTAATTCATTGTCTTTTTTTAACTTGGTAATAAAGTTATCAGATAACCTAAACGCACGGCTTCCGTCGTCTTTTGTTCATGTGTGTGAAGTAAAATGAGTGGTCAAACATTAACATTGCGGTCCCAAAACATTTGACATTAACAAAGGTTAATAAATGCTGTAAACATATATTGCTCATTGTTAGTTAATAATGTAACAAATTAATCCACCTTGTAAAATTTTACAAAATTGTTTTATTACAATTATCATTTGAAATCATTTTGTTCATTAAATCAAACACACAGAAAGCCGTTTTGTTGTTGTTATGTGATAACAAAACCATAAAATGTGTTCTATTTATGATTCCGAATCATGATATTTTGTAGAAAAAAAACCTGAAAATATGTTTTTTGATTATTTTGATTAAACAAAACGAAAGCAAAATGTATTTATATTTACATTACACCCAGTTATTTTTCAAATTTATTTTCTTGATTTTTCTTCAAACATTATGGGAACATCGAGGGAACATTGACCAACAAAAACAAATATTTACAAACCAACCAACACAAATAGATTATATTTGCATGTCTGAGAACAGCATTATTTACTCAAAACTCAATGATTTTAGGAAATATTTCCTACATTTGACCTTCATTTTTATTTTGGAAACCAAAAAAACATGTTGTATTTATAAATATGATTACATGATCATCATATACACTCACCTAAAGGATTATTAGCAACACCATACTAATACTATGTTTGACCCCCTTTCGACTTCAGAATTGCCTTAATTCTATGTGGCATTGATTCAACAAGGTGCTGAAAGCATTCTTTAGAAATGTTGGCCCATATTGATAGGATAGCATCTTGCAGTTGATGGAGATTTGTGGGATCCACATCCAGGGCACAAAGCTCCTGTTCCACTACATCCCAAAGATGCTCTATTGGGTTGAGATCTGGTGACTGTGGGGGCCATTTTAGTACAGTGAACTCATTGCATGTTCAAGAAACCAATTTGAAATGATTCAAGCTTTGTGGTGCTGGAAGTAGCCAGTATCAGAGATAGTACATGGTGGCCATAAAGGGATGGACATGGTCAGAAAAATGCTCAGGTAGGCCGTGGCATTTAAACAATGTCCAATTGGCACTAAGGGGCCTAAAGTGTGCCAAGAAAAAATCCCCCACACCATTACACCACCAACACCAGCCTGCACAGTGGGAACAAGGCATGATGGATCCATGTTCTCATTCTGTTTACGCCAAATTCTGACTCTACCATCTGAATGCCTCAACAGAAATTGAGACTCATCAGACCAGGCAACATTTTTCCAGTCTTCAACTGTCCATTTTTGGTGAGCTCTTGCAAATTGTAGCCTCTTTTTCCTATTTGTAGTGGAGAAGAGTGGTACCCGGTGGGGTCTTCTGGTGCTGTAGCCCACCCGCCTCAAGGTTGTGCATGTTGTGGCTTCGCAAAGGCTTTGCTGCATACCTCGGTTGTAACGAGTGGTTATTTCAGTCAAAGTTGCTCTTCTATCAGCTTGAATCAGTCGCCCATTCTCCTCTGACCTCTAGCATCAACAAAGCATTTTCGCCCACAGGACTGCCGCATACTGGATGTTTTTCCCTTTTCACACCATTCTTTGTTATCCCCAGAAATGGTTGTGTGTGAAAATCCCAGTAACTGAGCAGATTGCGAAATACTCAGACCGGCCCGTCAACAAACATGCCACGCTCAAAATTGCTTCAATCTCCTTTCTTTCCTATTCTGACATTCAGTTTGGAGTTCAGGAGATTGTCTTGACCAGGACCACACCCCTAAATGCATTGAAGCAACTGCCATATTGGTTGATAAGATAATTGGATTAATGAGAAATTGAACAGGTGTTCCTAATAATCCTTTAGGTGAGTTTATGTATTCATATAATCTTATAAAATATATGATTCCAATTCATGAATTTTTGAAGAAAAAAACCTTAAAATATGTTTTTCGGACGTTTTATTTAAACAGAATTAAATTAAAATGTACTTACATTTTATACTAGACGCTCTACAAAAATATGTATAACATTCCCATTAAGTTATGAAAACATTATTTAAATGTTCTCTGAACGTTCAAAAAATTTAAATGTTTAAAAAGCTATTGAAATGGAACATTGTATCATTCTTCAAAGATTAACGTTACTTTTGAATGCAACATTCGAAAATGGTCACGTTTAAAAAAAACGTCTAACTGAAACATTTCAGACAAAATGCTGCATGAATGATGTATAAATAACGTTTTTGTACTAATGTTTTCATAACATTATCAAAGACCAGATGACTTTGAACGATCGTTACTGGAGGAACATTTGTTTGTAACTTTGACAGCCTTAAAAAAATAAATATTAAGTAAATGTAATAATGCACCACATGATCATTTGGTTAAAGATTTTGAAATGCATATTAATATGCAGTCCGTTTGAGCAGATGCTGATATGAAGACATCACGTGTGAACCAACAGAAGACTCCAGAGCTGCTTTTATTTCTCAACTATAACATCATCTTTTAAAAATATCTGCTAGACATGAGGGATCATCGGATCAGAACATCAGAGTGTTTCTGTGGAAGGAAGGAGACCCTGGAGACGCCTCGACACAGACGAAGAAGAGTGATGAGAACCGCACGTTCCTCAGGAATATTCCCACTTCCCTTCAGTGAAGAAAACACAAGCAAACCAGTGCGAACAAAATGCGTTTCTACTGCCGGTTCTCTGCCGGTGTTTTAATGCGTTTACCTTTATGCATTTAAGTTATTAACTCTGCTGAATACATTTTTATTTTTATGAATAAAAGTTCTGTCCACTTTTTCAGAGGCGTTGGATCCAAAATATTTTTTTCTATTCATTTCTCCCATAGGGATTTTAGAAAAATATCATGATTAATTCTGCTGAATGAAAAAAAAAGTTAATTTTCTTTAATAGTTCATCTTAAATGTTTGTTGTGTGTCTGTCAAGAATGCTTATACAATGTTCAGGAAGAGTCGATGTGAACTGCAATGTTAGTGTGTCACACAAAGATTTTGATGAAAGGTTAATTTTGAATTTACTAGATTTTACTTAACATATTCAAAATTAAATAAATCATATATATTTAAGTAATATTTACATATTTCATGAATTCATGTTCAACAACAAGTCATTTGTACAGAGCAGTGGCAGTAAAATTTTATGCAAATTCTTAAAGGATTAAAGTAAATTTTTTTAAAGTAGATTTTTTCAGTGAATAAAGCACAGCAAATTATCAATATCATAATTTGCTCACCTTCATGTCCTTTCTTTCGTCTGTGAAACACAAAAGTAGATGTTTTACATGCATGTGTCACTGATTTTGAGCTCGACTTTCAGCGAACACCTTGTGTTAAAGATAAAGCTGGCAGGATTTCCACAAGACCCGGGTTCACAAGTGAAATGTGTGAACCCGGGTCACGTCCTTCAGGGCAAAACCTTGCATATTTGATTAAAACCTGTGACAAATCTCCCTGTTGAATAATTCATTCTTCTCGGACTCTGTGGACTTTCTGCAAACTTTGCATCATGCATTAGGATCATTATAGCCTATTGAACAACATTGACAATCATTTATGCAATGCATATTAATATTAATCTAAACTACAGTATGTGTCATGCCAGAACATTCTAGCTCTCTTAAAGTTATGAACAAACGTTTTTTGTTTTTTTTTTCCCCGGTAGTTTGTTTTAGGAATTGGTTCCAGAAGTATTTTTTCCATTCATTTCTCCCATAAGGATTTAAAAAAAAAAAGCTTTGTTAAAGCATTATAAGCAATACAACAAACCAATAAGCAACGACGAGAACAACAACATTGCAAACGTTAATTAGAAGAAAAAACGTATTTGGAAATCAGACAAAAATACAAGAATGTGAACTTATTAGCTTTAGTGAGAACTATGAACAGATGCAAAAGCCTCTAAGTGCCATGGTGGATTGGTGGATTTACTCACAGCGACTCTCAGTTGGTGGAATTTGTAGCACAGCATCATGGGTAATGTAGTTTTTCACCACAAATTCAGCTTTTTAACACTTCCATTTAAAAAACTGAGTTGAAATAATGTGAAGCAGAAGCACATTATATCGATTAACAGCCCCATAGCTCACAGTAGGACTGACTTTAAAAGTTTAGAAGTTACTGTTATCTCTATGGAGAACTTGAATGTAGTGTAGGCTATATTTCCATTTTATGTATTACGTGATTATTGACTGCAGGATCATTGGTGTTCTTGCCTGATTCCCAGGGTCTCTTGGCAGTTTGAGCCTCAGGTTGAGTCACTCAGTGACGTAAACATGAGAGTGTGTGAGGCTCCTGTTGTTTGTGCATCTGCTGCTTTTCCACTCTTTCCATTTGCTCGAGGAGTGCGGCAATGGAACCTTTGAAAACATGCAACATATCGACTGATGATGCCAATCCCTGTAGAGCCGGATGCCAGGTTAGGGTTAACCCTAATATTTATTTCAAATCAACCAGTTTTACTTTTATTTCAACGTAGTCACCCTGATTGAGTGTAATCTACTAAACGTTAGGAGACCAAACCAGCAGAAAATAATAAATAAATGACTAAAAAATTATACCTGTGTGAATAAAAAAAAAAAAAATGAATGCATACATAAATAAAAATAATTAAATACATTGAAAAATAATCATAATAATAATAAATACAATTTAAAAGTAATAAAATAATAAATTAGGAGAAAAATAATACAAACATTAATTTGATTAAAAATAAATAATATTTATTTTATTAAGTGGTTTATTGCTTTATTTATTTTCACATTTATTTATCTATTTATTCATTTATATATTTAGTTATTAATTCATTCATTCAATTTTATTTCTGCGGGTTTGGTCCTCCATAATGAGCTCCTGACAACGTAGTTTTTATATTCAACAACTGTTGAAAAACTCAATTTCCCAGCAGCCCTGTTTGCAGTGACGGAATCGTTGCGCATGCCCTGTGTGGCGCGAGGGGGGCCGGGCCGTCGAGTGTTTATGCGCGTAATGGCGGCGATCAGGT